GAACCAGGAGACTTCCTTTAGGTGATGGCACTGGATTTTAGCCTTGAAGATAATTAAGGATCCTACTAGGACAGCATTTTTCAAGTGTAATTCAGGAGTCCTTGGGGGTCCTTGAGACCCTGACAGGGGGTCTACAAGTACCAAACTATTTTCAGAATAATTAAGTTGTTTTATAGTAAATATCAATAGATATAATCCACCTAAACAAAAGCTTTTGGGGACATCACCAATAAATTTGAGGAGTAAAGGGGTCCTAAGACCAAAAAATTTGAGAACTGCTATATTAGGGTGAGTTGAGGAGAGAAAGCATTCCAGCCATGGTAGGCTATCTTTGCCAACACTTAGAGGTTAGAGATGGAATATAATAAATAGGGAATACCAAGGAGTCCAATTTGCCTGGAAGGGAGAGTTCACAAAGGGAAGTGATGCAAAATGAGCCTGCAAAAGTGAATTGCAGCCAGACTGTAAAAGACTTTAAATGCCATATTGGAGGGTTTATATTTTATCCTTTAGAGATGGAACAATGTGGTCAGACCAGAGTTTTAACAAGATTACTTTCATGACCATATGGAGCATGGATTAAGGGGAGACTAGAAGCAAGAAGTCTATTTTAGGAATTTTTTTAACATTATCATTAAGGTGAAAATTGGAATGGCATAGTATATTAATAGCTGGTGTTCAGTCAGAAAGGCTTGGGTTTAAGTTCTGCATGTGGCACATAGTGTCTGTGTGACCCTGGGAAAGTCAAATAGATGGAACGCTGGATAAAGCACTGGCCCTGGAGTTTGAAAGATCTGAGTTTACATATGGCCTTAGACACTTACTAGTTGTGTGACCCTAGGCAAGTTACTTGACCGTCAGTTGCCTCGGTTTCCCCATATGTAAAATGGTGATAATAATAGCACCTACATCATGGGTTTTTGTGAGGATCAAATGAGGTAATATTTGTAAAGTGGTATAAAAATGATTGCTATTATTATTCTCATCATTACCTTAACTCTCAGTGTCCCAAGTAACTTTCTAAGACTGTAAGTTGAAGAATACTTACTGATATGTATTCATCTAGGGAATTTCTTCACTGGGAATTTCCTAAGGCAATACAGTCATAGGCACAGACCAAACTAACAAATAAACGAATAGGGAGCTTTCTCATGGACTGAAAGACAGTTCTATCACATATTTGGGGAAAAAAACCATGTCAGAGACTGCTGCCAAGAGCTTTCCATGGAATAAACTTCAAAAAAGGGCCCTTTTCTCTAACAGCAATCCTAGTGTTGGGCAGCCCAAAGCAGAGGAAGCGTGTCCAAGGACAAGAGCAAAGCGTCAGCACTTCACACGAGATTGTCTCCAAATTTTCTTCTTTATCTTGTTTGTGGCTTTTTGCATGTCTTGTCTCCCAATTGTGAGTGCCTTAAGGGCAGAGACTGGGTTTTGTTTTATTTTTTAAATCCTCAGTGCTTAGCACAGCACCTGGTACATAGTAGGCCTTTAATAAATGTTTGTTGAGATGACTTGAACATTGCAGAAACATCAGGATCCAAAGGGCAAAAGGCACAAGGGAAATATCTAGTCAGCAGGAATCCAAGGAACTGGTCATCCAAATGAGTTTGAGCATACTGCTGTTCTGGTTCCTGGCCTCACTCACTTCCAAGACTTGGGATTCGAGGTTCACTCCTTGGTCTTCTGCATGAACTGTAAATATGGACAGATTAGTGTTTCCAATATCACAATGCTGATGTGGCTAAATTGATGTGGGGGTCAGCTCTCCTTTGTGTGTGGCCTTCTCCTCTTAAATTGTAAGCAATTTGAGGGCGGGAAGTAACTTTCTTTTTGCTTGTATTTGTATCCTCAGCACTGCACAATGCTTGGCCCTAGAAAGTGCTTAATAAATGTTTGTTGCCTGACAATAGTTATCCTATAGTGCAGGAATATTTCTGGAAGTGTTGTGTGCCATATTATTGTGCAAGGTCTTCCTGTTCCTGCTAAGGCATATGGAGCCTTTCTCAATGCCCATACCTTTCTGCCCACGAACAAAATTGTGTATAGCATAGAGCTCTGAGTGGGAGGGAGGTCTTAGACTGCTCTCTCCTTACCCTGTCTTCTCTCTCAGTTATTGCTGAAATGTGGAGAATGAAGGGGAGAGAAGGGCAGGCACATACAAAATAAATACTTTAGGCTAAATCACTGCTCCCTTCCCTCTCCCCCATATTTTCTCAGGTTAGATACTTTTTAACTATCTTTTAGGGCTTCTAAGATAGTTCCCTATCATCCTCATTTCTCAAATCTTTGCAGATCCTCTAGGTTATCTCTCTCAGGGATCCCCTAACTAGTCTCCTTCTCTTATGAGATTCCTTAGCTTATTTTTCAGGGGCCACTGCTGGTGGTATTCTCCACCAGTGGAATCAATCTTTCCTAGTATCCTGGGGAAACCTGTTCTAGTAGATAGATGAAACCCTCAGAAGCATATGGTCTCAATCTGTTCCTGAGTATGTGTGTGTGGGATCCCTAAAACCCTAAAACTATGGCATTTGTAGGTCATAGTCTACTACAAGAAGCCGAGAGAAAGGAACAAGTGGATTAACCCTTCCTTGATCTTCTTGGAGAAAACAAGACCTGGAAATCAGAAGCTATATTTGATATCCTTAGTATTGACATTGTGGTTGGTTATAATATAATAATAATATAATGTCCTTATATTAAATCTATTTCATTAAGGAGCTCTATTCGTGTAAAAAGTTCATGGCACATTCATCCTTATAAATCTATGGAGACTGGAACAAAGATCTCCATCAGAACCCAAAGCCAAATTTTTCATTCAAACCAAGCTCCTAGTACCTCACTGCTATCCAATGTTACAGCTCCAGTTTTCAAAAGCTGCAAAATTATAAAAGTCACAAAAGGAAAACAACTATCACAGATCATAAGATACACAAGTTGATCAATATCAGGTTTCCTAAGAGAAATTTCAGAGACAGCTAGGTAGCATAGTTTACAGCATGCTGCTAGATTTGGAGTCAAGAAGGCCAGAGTTCAAAGCCTGCCTCAGACACTCACTAGCTGTGTGACCCCAGAAAGATTACTTAACCTCTATCTGCCTAACTGTTCTTATCTATAAAAAAATTAATACCACTTACCAGAAGACCTAGGGTCATGTCCTGTCTCTACTATATGATCATAAACAAATTGTTTAACATCTCAGTGCACCACCCCAGACTCTAAGCTATAAATTACAGAGGAATAACCCATCTATATTGGTGAAGGGAGTTTCCACACCAGGATGTCCCCCACACCAATGAAATTCTACACTGGGGGAAAAATACATCTGATTTAATCCTTTGTAATCTGGTGGCACAGTGACTAGAATACTAGGCCTAGGGTCAGGAAGATTTATCTTCTTGAGTTCAAATCCAGCCTCAGACACTTATTAACTATGTGACCCTGGTCAAGTCAATTGCCCTGTCACAAACCCTGTTTGTCTCAGTTTTCTCATCTGCAAAATAAGCTGGAGATGGAAATGGCAAGTCACTCCAGTATCTCTGCCAAGAAAACCCCAAATGGGGTCACAAAGAGTTGGACACAACTAAAACCCAACAAGAAGTGTGGCATTTGAGAAAACATGAGCACTTAGAAATAGACTGACTCAGCCAAGATCACAACAGGCCTCAGAACTGGCAGAGTAGAAATGGGGCCCATGGCTGCTGACTGTCATTCCTCTTTCCACTAGATGATATGCTGTTCAATAGTAATCTTCTGTTATCTCTTCTGATAAAGAATAGCTACGGTAATGTGTAAAGCTGTGTTAATAGGAAATATTACTTCAATCACAGTAGATTGACTTCCTTGAAAGCCTCATGGGAGACCGTATCTTTCTATTTCCTATTAAGCGCTACATGAATTAATGAATGAATAAAAAGACATTTAAGTGCTTACTATGTGACAAGTACCCTTCTTCTTGCACCCATAACCTTCTAATCCTTGTTTGTTTGTGAAATTGGGATGCATAAATGAAGAGTTTATTCAAAACAAGATTCTCCTTCTCAGGAATTAGCATCAGTAGCAGACAAAAGACGCCCAGCCACATGGTTGCTTTGCAACTGAAGCTTTGTCAAATCTTAGACCAGTTCAAAGTTTGATGTTATGTTGACTCCAGATCAGAGAGCCATAGACGTAGGGCAAAGATCCTTCACCTTTTATTGAGTTTTAGATCTGTTTGGCAGTCTGGTGAAGCCTAGGGACCCTTTCTCAGAATAGTAGTTTTAATGCACAGAATAAAATGCATAGGCTCACGAATGAAACCAATTATATTGAAATATGATTATTAAAATATCTTTCCTATAGGAGTCCACAGATCTCTCATTAGCTATCCATGGACTCCAGGTTAGAGGGAAAAAGGACCTCAAAGGCCATCTAGCCTAGACCTCTAATTTTTCAGATGAGGAAACTGATGGCCATGGAAATTAAACATCCTTCCCAGTTTCACATAGGTAGCAAGCCCGGATTTGAACCCAAGTCCTCTGACTCCAAAGCCAGTGCTCTCTCCACTGCATCACAGTGCTTCCTCATTATAGTACCTTTTCCCAACAAGCATGCTTCTTTGACCTCTCTTGTCTTTGTGCTTCTATGATAATATATATACATACACACACATATGTATATATATTGGAGCTTAGCAAAAAGACTAACTCAGGGGCAGCTGGGTGGCACAGTGGATAGAGCACCAGCCCTGAAGTCAGGAGGACCTGAGATCAAATCTGGCCTCAGACCAAACACTTGATACTCACTAGTTGTGTGACCCTGGGCAAGTCACTTAAACACTATTGCCTAAAAAAAAAAATTACTCAAATCTCTGCCAGGGTACCATTTCCCAGTGGGCCAGGCCCAGGATACTCCACTGACCTTAATCTGTCACCAAGTAGGGAAAATTGTTTAAGACTTTCATTTTGCATAGGTCTACATTCCCCCCCCCCAAGTTTTCATGCTCATCTCTTGTCTCTTGGCAGTATTGGAGGGGCTGTACCAACCGTCTTTTCCTATTTTGCTGAAGTCCTTGCCCGGGAGAAACGAGGGGAGCACCTGAGCTGGCTCTGCATGTTCTGGATGATTGGCGGCATCTATGCCTCGGCCATGGCTTGGGCCATTATCCCTCACTATGGTAAGAAGCTTGCTCTTCACTGCATTATATACAAGTCATGGATTTTTTTCAATCTATTCCTTACTACTGTGAGATGCCAACCTAAAAACAAGGGCATGTGCAAATTTCTCCAGCTCATCTATTTCAGTTCTTTAGCTCATTTCCCTAGATCATGATAATTTGAGAACTGATTAAAGGTGATATGAACTGCATTTTGTTCTTGTTTAAAATTATTGCTATGGTTTTTTTTTCCCTCTACTCCATGAGGCCCACACTGGTGGAGTGAAGAGACGCATAGGTTATCCAAAACAACTGTGATGGCAACACCATTTGTACTTGCTCTGGAAATTCTGTCATATACCTCAGAGACAAATGAGAAGGTGTACACACAAACACACACACACACATACACACACACATACATTCACCCCCTCTGTGCCAAGTTCAGCCCTCAACTTGGGGTCTACACAATGGTGCTCAGGACTCAGCTGAAGATCTGGAAGGAAGCCAGAATCTCCACAAATGATTTACAAAAAGAGATAATCCACTCACAGATAATAGAGAATTGACTGGTTCTATGTTTTCCCACCTGGTTATTCTCATCTTCCTCATCTTCTTTCCTTGGTTCTTTATGTCAAGGTAATGAGAAATTGCCCCATTCACTACCAAGTACATGGTGTTCCTGATTAGTGGTTAGATTGTACCAATATGTGAAAAAATTTGTTCTATTCAGGTGAAACTGAAAACCCCATAATAGCCCTCAGGAAACAAATAAAGAAGCTCATTTTGATTATGTTTGAGCAGATAAGCAAGTAAAATTGAACTATTATTTGCAAAAAAAATTAAAAATCAGATAAAAAATTTTAAACTATGAGGTCACATAGAAGTACATTTGGTTTTTCCAAATTTCTCCACATTTCACTCTACACCTAATAAAAAGTCAGTTTGCGTTCTAGAATCACAATATTAGCTCATTTTTATCTAGCATTGTATCATTTACAGAGTATTTTCCTCACAACAGAGAAGGTAAGTAGTGCAAATCATCACTGTTTTCCAAATAAGGGAATTGAGTCTCAGAGCAGGTAAGTAGCACCATTATCACATAGCTAATGAATGTCAAAAGCAGGACTCAAGTAAAGATCTTCTAATTCCAAATGAAGTATTTTTTCTACCTTGAATAAAATGTGCTCTTTGTTCTAGAATATGGTTCTGTATTAGAATTCCTTTTACAGAATTTGATCTCATGACATGACATAAATCACATATATCATGACACATTGAAAATCATTGCATCTTAAATTGTGAAATATATTTTGTTATATTTATTCCATTTATAATTCTGACAAATTAGAGGGAAATGGACATCAAAAAAAAAAAGAACAAACAAAGCCTAAAAAATTGTTTTCCTGGTCAGGGTAGGTAAAAAGGAAAGCAATTTTCTAATTTTTGAACTGAATTTGGAGTACAGAGCAAAAATATTGGGTTTTTTTCTTCCCTGGGGGTACATTAGCATCTTTGTGTCAAAATGTCAGAGATAATCCCAAGCAGAAGATTAAATGTGTTCACTACTCTTTTTTATTGTTGTTGCCACCACCAGACAAATTTAAGGGAGGTTCATCAGTTTGATTGGGACCCTGGAACCTCGGCCTTTACTCCCATTCAACTTCACTTCTCTGAAGTGAGAGAACAAAAATTGAAACAGCCTTATCCAACCACAGAGCAAGAGGACCCTTCCATATCACGACTTTCCTCATTGCAGTTTCGAGATATCGCTGGTTGGCATAAGAAATTGAGTGGGAATTTTACAGAAGCCACAGACAACCCACAAAGGCCAGCAGACAACACAGAAAAAGTTTAGAAACTTAGAAATGCATATATATATACACACATACATATATATAGTATTGTATAATATCAACATATTTTATCTTTTGATACCATAATTCATACTTCTCTCGTACAAAGGGAAGGCCAAAAAGATTTATGCAGATTTTCCAGATCATGGGGGCACCATGTCCCTAACCCCCATGATGTAGCAAGGATAGCTGCTTTTCTCCTGTCAAAAACATCTTGTGAGATATTATTTCTTAGTCCTGAACCATATTTTCCACTACTCCCTTATTCTACCTTTATGCAAGTCACTGACTGACAAGATAGACATTGACCTAAGCTGGATAATCCTGTCAAGTTCTTCAGAGAATTTTTCTCTTCATTCCCTGAAGCACTTATTGGCATATAAGCTGCAATCATCTTCATGGTGGCCTTTTTGTCTTGTGCTCTTTGTGACTTACTACAAGGTGAAGTGACTGACTGCCTCATTAAATTAGTTTTCTTGTAGCTTTTGGGTGTATGATTAACCCAACTCTTTTCTATACTCCTTTGAAGAGCATTTCCAAGCTGTTTTTTCCATTTAGTTTCAATTTCCTTGTGTTCAGGTTTCATTCATGGAGAAAAGGACAAGATGGATGTGATTTGGTTTCTCCAACAGTGTGGCAGTTGGGACAAAGGCAAATTCTAGGTACTAATTACAAAGTAGAAATTTACTTCACTTAAGACATAGGTGTCATCCCATCTTAGTTGGCCCCTAGTCTATTGCTTTCATTCCCTGATCCTTAGTAGAATAAAGTTCTTTCTGAAGGGCACCAGCTACAACCCCAAATTTAGGCTGAAATTGATCTCTCCTTAATCTCCTTACATCTCAAGCTTATTGCTATGTCTTTTTGGTTCTAAGACCCAGAATCTCTTCTATTTGTTTTCCTAGGTATCTGACTTAGGCCAAGCTGAACAAGCTGATGCCCTACTTTGATCCCGCCATATTGATTCTATATTGAAACAAGATCCCTTGTTTCTTTTTTCTCTACTTCTTGGCTCAAGTTTTCAGTTCCTTTTTTTTTTTTTTTGACTCTGTGCATACTTATCACACAGCCAGCTCTAATCCCAGCTTGGCCATCCTACCATTTTTATGGCCCTTTGAGTCATTATTTTGCAGATTCTTTGAGTTGGAAGGATGCTTGAAATCATGTAATTCAAATTTCTCCTTTTTCAGATGAGGAAACTGAGGTCCAGAGGTGAAGAATTACTCACATTCATGGTTACATGAATACTGTTAAAGCCAGGACTAGAAATTGTCTTCTATCAAGTCAATGCCCTTTTCCCTATATCATACTGTTTAAGTATGTCTTTTAGAAAGCAACAGGAATAAAAAAAAAATTTAAATCCACATACATTTGGCCAGGAGAGAGAGTCATACTATTCATCACAAATTTTGTATGAAAAAATAACTAATGTAATCATAACATAATGAATGCATGGAGTGGGTGACGTAGAAGGAAGTTTACATGGATGTACTTAGGGTCTTAATGATTTATTGATAGATCCTCAAAAAATAGCCTTTTTCATGGTTTCTTATTTGATCTTGTTCTATTGTACTTTGAATATGGAAATCTCTCCCTCTCCTTCTCTACCTCCCTCCCTTCTCTCTTTCTCTCTCTCTCTCTCTCTCTCTCTCTCTGTTAACACTTTCTCTCTCTTTCTCACTGACTGTCTCTGTCTCTATCTCTCTGTGTCTCTTTCTCCATTTTGTTAAGTTCATATATTTTGAAAAGAAAATTTTTTTTAAAAAAGAATTTTTTTTCAATCAAACACCCAGGACATAACAATCCAGTTTCAAACTTTTAACTAGGTTCCAGTCCTCCTTCTTCCACTACCTAGCTGTGAGACCTTGGGCAAGTTGCTTCACTTTCCATCAACTTGTCAGTTGCATAACTGTAACACCATGTGCCTTTCCTGGCCAACATGGTTATTGTCAGCATCATAAGAGATGATAGATATAAAAGTGCTTTATACACCACAAAGTACAAAAAATAAGGCATTGCTATTGCTTTTGATGCTGTTGTTAGATTGGCAGCCTTTCCAAATCTGAGAGTGGTTCTGGAATAGCAAACTTGCGGAAACTCCAGATTTCCCTTATGTCTCTGTGACAATTCCCACTTCTAAATTATCTCTAGGTCAATGTCCTAAGAAATCCCTCTCTCAAGGCAGCCTTTCAATGTCTGTGGAGAGTGCTGGAAGGAGGAGTAAATAGGAGAGCGCAGGATTCTTGTTCAGCTTTATAAATTTTATTTTCTCTGCCCTATTTGAGATCCAGTAACGCAGCCTAGGCTCTTCTTGCCACAAACAAAAACATATTCTAGCCCATGAGGCTTAGAATCCTACTCAAATTTTACTTTTGGAATATCTCAGATACATAGCAAATCTCTCACTCCTCTGCCATCTCTTTCTTCTGCCTTAAAATGGATGACTGCTTGGTTAAAAACACATTCAGTTTCACTGCAGCTCCCCCCTAAATTTTTTTCTTGAAATGCTGCAATGTCAACTATACAGCAGCTCTTGGAAAATAACAAGAAAGATCCCTATAGCACCTCCAATCACAATACTTTTGGGAATTTTATTCTGTATATAGGAGTTTATTCTATCAGGAAAAGAATACAAATAAGAGCTATTCACACAAAATGCTCAAGCCCTCTGTACATCGGTATTGAGACTGGTTTCACTGGTGCCTCCTAGTAACTAATCAATGGTTGCTAACTACTTGGCAACTGTAAGAACATATTGAAAATTATGGATCGTTATAAACAGTTTTGGAATATTTCTATTGTGGCTGTTCTGCATTTGTGGTAACTCAGTGGGCCAATGGTTAAAATAAAATGTTTGAAATCACAAGATTTGAATTTTGTTGTCAGGCATACCCTTCATACTGGACAGTCATTTCCCATTGCAGTAGAAACTAGAATTATTTTTCAAGCCATCAGAGGGTTATTTGCCTAAATTTTTATCTTACCTTATTGGGATTACTCGCTTGTGGGGCTTACTTAAAACATGAGCTATGTCCAAAGCAGCCTCATCAACATGGGGATTAAATTGGAAATTACAGATGTCTTCTGTTCATCAAACATCTGTTGTTCAAGGCACTACGTTTGGCACTATAACAATAGATAGGCCATGCCTCTTGCTCTCAAGAG